CCTTCACGAGCCTCCTCCACTGAGGCCGATCTTGACACCGCTGGTACCAGTCATCGGCAAGTCCACTCAGCTCCACGTCCTCTTGTGCCACATCGCTCCATCTCTTCTCTAGCCCGTGTCGCGCCCGTTTAGCCCCCTCTATCCGGCCGAACAAAAGCTGTTTAGGCATGCGGTGGCTGGGCATGCGGGCTACATGACCCAGCCAACGCAGCCTTGCCTGCCGGAGGAGCTCACCGATGGGACTTTGCCCAGATCTTTCAAGGATTTGTGAGCTCCTCACACAATCCAGCCTGGTTAAACCCAGGATGGATCGTAGGCAGGCCAGCCTAAATGTTTGTAACCGGCGAAGATGCTCCATTAGGGGGGTCCACGTTTCGCAAGCGTAAAGAAGGGAGGGAATGACCGTGGCCGAGAAGACCTGAAGCTTCGTGCGGAGCGACAGACCAGGTAGCTTCCACACAGCGTTATGCAACCGATGAAAAGATAATGCCGCTCGACTGATTCGGAGTGAGACCTCTGCTGTTGAACTGGAGCCGGTCATAAGCACACTGCCCAGGTATGGGAAACTCTCCACTCTCTCCACAACTGCCCCATCACCAATTGGGAGTTGTGGGGGTCGAGTATCCGATGGTACAAAATACCCAGGCAGGTGCTTAGTTTTGGTGGGGCTGATGGTAAGGCCCCACCTCTTAGTGGCAACCTCCAGTCTCAGCAGCAGCGTCTCCAACTTCTCTTCTGAATGAGCAGCTATTACCAAATCATCGGCATACATAACGTGGTTGACCAATAGGGTGCCATCCCTTGATCGCACCCGGGCATCGATCAGCCTCCCATTATATCTGTACCAAATGGAAATTCCCCCGGTACAGCTATTGAAGGCTTCACGAACTACGCGGTCAAAATAGATGTTAAATAATGTGGGAGCCAGAGGACATCCCTGTCGCACCCCAAGGTGAACAGGGAATGGGTGATGGTGGTGGGGGGGGGGGTGTAGGTGGTGGGGGGGGGGTTGTGGGGGGGGTGGGAGGTGGTGGGGGGGGGGGGGTGGAAGGTGGTGGGGGGGGAGGTGGGAGGTGGTGGGGATGGTGGTGGTGGTGGTGGTGGGACGGGTGGTGGTGGTGGGGGTGGTGGTTGTGGAGAAGGTTGGTGGTGGTGATGGTTGTGGTGGTGGTGGGGAGTGGTGGTGGTGGTGATGGTGGTGGGGGTGGTGGGGGGGTGGTGGTTGTGGTGGTTGTAGTGGATGCTTGGACAGACATCAGAGAGAGTGAGAGAGGGGGGAGAGGCAGAGAGAGGGGGGGAGGAGAGTGTGGAGTTGTATTGGTGTGTACCCAGGCACTGTGTGAGTGTGTGAGTGTGTGTGTGCGTGTGTGAGTGTGTGTGTGAGTGTGTGAGTGAGTGTGTGAGTGTGTGTGTGAGTGAGTGTGTGAGTGTGTGTGTGAGTGAGTGTGTGAGTGTGTGAGTGAGTGTGTGAGTGTGTGAGTGTGTGTGTGAGTGTGTGTGTGAGTGAGTGTGTGAGTGTGTGTGTGAGTGAGTGTGTGAGTGTGTGAGTGAGTGAGTGTGTGAGTGTGTGAGTGTGTGAGTGTGTGTGTGTGTGTGTGAGTGTGTGTGTGAGTGTGTGAGTGAGTGTGTGAGTGTGTGTGTGAGTGAGTGTGTGAGTGTGTGTGTGAGTGAGTGTGTGAGTGTGTGAGTGAGTGTGTGAGTGTGTGAGTGTGTGTGTGTTCGTGAGTGTGCGTATGTGTGTGAGTGTGTGTGTAGTGTGTGTGCGAGTGTGTGTGTCTGTGTGTGTCTGTGTTTGTCTGTGTGTGTGTGCGTATGTGTGTGTGTGTAGTGTGTGTGCGAGTGTGAGTGTGTGTGTGTGTTTGTGTGTATGTCTGTGTGTGTGTGTCTGTGTGTGTTTGTCTGTGTGTGTCTGTGTGGGGAGTGGTGGGTGTAGTGGTTAGCGCTACGCTGCGCTACGAACCCAGCGACCCAGGTTCGATTCCCGCTCACGGCCAACACCACCACGTGACGATTATCAGAACCGGTCCTGGGCCTTTCCTAGGTCGACTCAGCCTCAAACGAGTTCCTGGTGTAGCGGTGCAGTAAACATCGCCACTGGGGGAGAGACAAAGGCGGCCGAGCGTGGTGGTGCTGGCCACCCACCCCCTCTGTGTGTGCCGGTAGCCTTCATAGGTAGCTGCTGCTACTCGCTACTAACAGCACTTGCCCCTACAGCCCTGCTAGAGGCTACCTGGGGGACCTTTGTCTTTGTGTATTCATAGGTGTTGCTGCTACTCGCTACTAACAGCACTTGCCCCTACAGTCTGCTAGAGGCTACCTGGGGGATCTTTGTCTTTGTGTGTTCATAGGTAGCTGCTGCTACTCGCGACTAACAGCACTTGCCCCTACAGTCTGCTAGAGGCTACCTGGGGGAGCTTTGTCTTTGTGTGTTCATGGTTAGCTGCTGCTGCTGCTGCTACTAACAGCACTTGCCCCTACAGCCTGCTAGAGGCTACCTGGGGGACCTTTGTCTTTGTGTATTCATAGGTGTTGCTGCTACTCGCTACTAACAGTACTTGCCCCTACAGCCTGCTAGAGGCTACCTGGGGGAGCTTTGTCTTTGTGTGTTCATAGGTAGCTGCTGCTACTCGCGACTAACAGCACTTGCCCCGACAGTCTGTTGAGGCTACACGGGGGATCTTTGTCTTTGTGTGTTCATAGGTAGCTGCTGCTTCTCGCTACTAACAGCACTTGCCCCGACAGCCTGCCAGAGGCTGCACGGGGGACCTTTGTCTTTGTGTTTGCTGGGGTGTAATTACAGTCGGATAGGCGACTTAATGAGGCCCTCAGCGAAATGCCATTCACGAAAATTAATGAAGAGACCGAGGGGGTGATGGTGGATGGGGGTGACAGCTCCTGGCTTACACACAGAGACCCACAGACTCACCACACAGAGACCCACAGACTCACCACACACAGAGAGACCCACAGACTCACCACACAGAGACCCACAGACTCACCACACAGAGACCCACAGACTCACCACTCACACAGAGACCCACAGACTCACCACACAGAGACCCACAGACTCACCACACACACAGAGACCCACAGACTCACCACACAGAGACCCACAGACTCACCACACAGAGACCCAAAGACTCACCACTCACATAGAGACCCACAGACTCACCACACAGAGACCCACAGACTCACCACACAGATACCCACAGACTCACACAGAGACCCACAGACTCACCCACACAGAGACCCACAGACTCACCACACAGAGACCCACAGACTCACCACACAGAGACCCACAGACTCACCACACAGAGACCCACAGACTCACCACACAGAGACCCACAGACTCACACAGAGACCCACAGACTCACACAGAGACCCACAGACTCACCACTCACACAGAGACCCACAGACTCACCACACAGAGACCCACAGACTCATCACACAGAGACCCACAGACTCATCACACAGAGACCCACAGACTCACCACTCACACAGAGACTCACAGACTCACCACACAGAGACCCACAGACTCACCACACAGAGACCCACAGACTCACCACACAGAGACCCACAGACTCACCACACAGAGACCCACAGACTCACCACTCACACAGAGACCCACAGACTCACCACACAGAGACCCACAGACTCACCACGCAGAGACCCACAGACTCACCACTCACACAGAGACCCACAGACTCACCACACAGAGACCCACAGACTCACCACACAGAGACCCACAGACTCACCACTCACACAGAGACCCACAGACTCACCACACAGAGACCCACAGACTCACCACACAGAGACCCACAGACTCACCACTCACACAGAGACCCACAGACTCACCACACAGAGACCCACAGACTCACCACACAGAGACCCACAGACTCACCACTCACACAGAGACCCACAGACTCACCACACAGAGACCCACAGACTCACCACACAGAGACCCACAGACTCACACAGAGACTCACAGACTCACACAGAGACCCACAGACTCACCACTCACACAGAGACCCACAGACTCACCACACAGAGACCCACAGACTCACCACACAGAGACCCACAGACTCACCACGCAGAGACCCACAGACTCACCACTCACACAGAGACCCACAGACTCACCACACAGAGACCCACAGACTCACCACACAGAGACCCACAGACTCACCACACAGAGACCCACAGACTCACCACTCACACAAAGACCCACAGACTCACCACACAGAGACCCACAGACTCATCACACAGAGACCCACAGACTTGCTACACAGAGACCCACAGACTCACCACACAGAGACCCACAGACTCACCACACAGAGACCCACAGACTCGCCACACAGAGACCCACAGACTCACACAGAGACCCACAGACTCACCACACAGAGACCCACAGACTCACCACACAGACACCCACAGACTCACCACACAGAGACCCACATACTCACACAGAGACCCACAGACTCACACAGAGACCCACAGACTCACCACTCACACAGAGACCCACAGACTCACCACACAGACACCCACAGACTCACCACACAGAGACCCACAGACTCACCACTCACACAGAGACCCACAGACTCACCACACAGAGACCCACAGACTCACCACACAGAGACCCACAGACTCACCACTCACACAGAGACCCACAGACTCACCACACAGACACCCACAGACTCACACAGAGACCCACAGACTCATCACACAGAGACCCACAGACTCACCACACAGAGACCCACAGACTCACCACACAGAGACCCACAGACTCACCACACAGAGACCCACAGACTCATCACTCACACAGAGACCCACAGACTCACCACACAGAGACCCACAGACTCACACAGAGACCCACAGACTCATCACACAGAGACCCACAGACTCACCACAGAGAGACCCACAGACTCACCTCACAGAGACCCACAGACTCATCACACAGAGACCCACAGACTCATTCACCCCTCCCGCGTGCCCCCCTACCCCAGGTCAGACGTTTGAGGTGCGAGGCTACCGCAGGAGCGACGAGTCCTACATCTTCTCGGCGACGCGGGAGGTCTACACCGTGACCTCTGTGTCGGAGTGCGCAGAGAAGTGTGAGGCCGAGACGGCCTTCACGTGCAGGTGGGGGTCACACACTGGGGGTCACTGGGGGGTCACTGGGGGGTCACTGAGGGGGTCACTGGGGGTCACTGGGGGGTCACTGGGGGGTCACTGGGGGGATCACTGGGGGTCACTGGGGGGTTAGACACTGGGGGGGGTCACTGGGGGGGTCAATGGGGGGTCACTGGGGGGTCACTGGGGGTCACTGGGGGGGGTCACTTGGGGGGGTCACTGGGGGGGTCACTGGGGGGTCACTGGGGGGGTCACTGGGGGTCACTGGGGGGTCACTGGGGGTCACTGGGGGGTTAGACACTGGGGGGTCACTGGCGAGTCATTGGGGGGATTCAGTCACTGGGAGGTCACCAAGGTCATGACCATCACCAACCACGATCATCTTGACGGCAAGGCTCTCACCTCGCTACCCCCTCCCCCCTCCTCCTATCCTTCCCCCCCCCCCTCATCCCTGCTCCCCTCATCCCCCCCCTCCCCTTCTCCTCCCTTCCCCCTCATCCCTCTCCCCCTCCTCCCCCCCCCCCTCCTCCTCCTCCCTTCCCCCTCATCCCCTCCCCCCCCTCCCCCTCCTCCCCCCTTCCCCCCCCCTCCCCTCCCCCCCTCCTCCTCCCCTCCCCCTCCCCCCCCTCATCCCCCCCCCTTCTCCTCCCCCCCCTTCTCCTCCCCCCTTCTCCCCCCTTCTCCCCTCCTCCTTCCCCCCCTCCCCCCCAACCCCTCCCCCCCCACCCCCTCCCCCCAGGTCGTTCGTGTTCACGAGTCTGGTGCAGGACTGCGCCGTGATGCCTCTCAACTCGCTCAGCAAGTTCAAGATGAGCCGCAAGGGATACGTCCTCTACGAGAAACAGGGTGAGCCTCGCTCCGCCTGTTGTTGTTGTTGTTGTGTGTGCGCGTGGTCCGCCTGTTGGTGTGTGTGGGCCGCAAAACAACCCCCTACCTCCTCGCGGTGCCGGACGGGCAACGCTGTCGTGAGCAGTGCTGTGGGGGGAGGGCCAATGCCCATTGGCCTCTCCCCTCATGGCGTCTGTGACCACCACAGTGGCTAAACGGGGGCTCTGGACGGGTGCGAGGGGCTGCTAACCCCTCCACCTTCAATAAATTACCACTAAACCACGTCTAAGATATCTAATTAATAAGCTTGTGCCGGAGGCCCCGGGGGGACATGCATCTATGACGTCTCCTGGCCAAACCCCATTTGGCGGAGCCAGGAGATTGAATGTTCACCCTCAGGGCTCCTCCAGAAACAACAAAAAGCCACTACGGGTGGCCATGTAGAATGTTCGAACGCTCGCTGTGGAGGAGAGGCTGCCACTCCTCTGTCGGGAACTGGACTGGTACTGCCTGGATCTCTGTGGCATTCAGGAGGTCCGGTGGACCGGCTCTGCTTCCTGCCATTATGAGGGGTGGACAGTCCTCTACTCGGGGCAGGAGACTGCCAAACAACAGGGAGTGACTCTTCTTCTGAATAAAAGAATGAAGGGGCGTGGGAGCGTGGCGGTGAGGTGTGGGAAGCTGTAAGCCCCAGGATACTTTGGGCTCGCCTTCCCATCAACCGGAGGCGAGGAGTGGTGGTCGTGGTTACTCATGCCCCCACCGAAGACGAACATCCGTGGAGGGATGCAGGCAAGGCCGATGAGTCAGATGCCTTCTATGACCTCCTGTCACAGGTGCTGGCTAAAGTGGCCCATCAGGATGGAGTCATCTTATTGGGTGACTTCAATGCCCGAGTTGGTCACGATGCTGGCACCTGGTCTGAAGTAATTGGAAGGCATGGGCCAGATCGGCTCAATAACAACGGCAGGAGGCTGCTAGATTTTTGTGCAGCCCATGGGCTTGTAATTACCAACATGCTGTTCCGGCATCGGCGCGTTCCACACCATATCATGGATGCATGCCGGGTCCAAGCAAGAACATCTGCTGGACTACATAGTGACGGACCAGCGGATGCGGGCCCATGTCCTTGACACCAGGACCTACCGTGGAGCTGATCTGCCCACTGACCATCGACTTGTCATCTGTAAGATGCGCCTGCCATTCTTCCACTCCGGTGGTGGGTGTACACCCAGGATCCCATTCCAACCAAAAGTGGCCTGGTCTCAGTTAGCTGATGAAAGTTGCAAGCGAGAATTTCATCATCACTTGCAGCTGGGGTTGGCATCGTCCCCCACTCCCCCTGATGTCGAGAGGAAATGGGCGAGGTTTAGGACTGTGGCTCATGCAGCTGCAATGGCACACGGTCCAGACCTCCCCAGAGACCCTGGCTGACAGAGGAGGTGTTCAAGCTGGCTGAGAAAAAGCGACAGGCCCACTTTCATCGGTTACAGCATCCCACATCAGAGAATGAGGCTTACCGCAGCATTCGCTCGGAGGTTCGGAGAGCCGTGAGGCGCTGCAAGGATGGGTGGTGGTCGCGGGTTGCCGAGGAGATGGAGTCTGCCCCAGTGACCCGCGATCACAAATCGCTCTTTAATTCAATAAAATAGAATAACCTGCAGTGCCACACCTATTATCATCATTAGGGGAAAGAACGGTGATCCAATCTCCGACCCCCAGGAATAGGTTTGCAGATTTGCTGAGCATTTCTGTGAGGTCCTGGGAGAGGGGAAATCCCCCAGCCAGGTAAACATGGGACAAAGTGGAGATGACCCTGCTGAGGCTGCGGTGCCTCAAATATTGGAGGAGGAAGTCACCCCCTGTGAGTGGCTGGCTGAGGTGCCATCTGTTGAGGAAGTACTGAAGGCGATCCAGAGTCTGAGACCAGGGAAGGCACCGGGCAGAGATGATTTCCCAAGCGAAATGCTGAGGGAGGCTGGCGTTTGTGCACAGACTGCCCTACATGACATCATAACAACAGTCTGAACCACTGGACGGGTTCCGCAGGACTGGAAGGATGCCCTGGTGGTCCCCCTCTTTAAGAAGGGGGACCGCACAGACTGCAACAACTACAGGGGCATCTCACTCCTCAGTGTGCCGGGAAAGGTCCTGGCAAGGATTAATCAACATCGCCTTGCTATGCACGCTGAGGAGAGGCTTGCGGAGCCCCAATGTGGTTTCAGGAAAGAGCGGTTCTGCACAGATGCCATATTTTCTGACCGTCTGCGACAGCAGAGGTGTAGGGAATTCCAACAAGACCTACATCTCTGCTTTATTGACCTGGTAAAGGCCTATGATACCATCAGTAGGCCTGGGCTCTGGGTTGTTCATCGTGCCTTATAGAGTCCCTGACCCTCTGCTCACGATCATTAAGGACCTTCATGATGGAGAGCGGGCCCGGGTAAAACTACATGGCCGGGAGTCAGAGCCTTTCCCTGTACACCTTGGGGTGCGACAGGGATGTCCTCTGGCTCCCACATTATTTAACATCTATTTCGACCACATAGTTCATGAAGCCTTCAATAGCTGTACCGGAGGAATTTCCATTTGGTACAGATACAATGGGAGGCTGATCGATGCCCGGGTGTGGTCAAGAGATGGCTCCCTATTGCTCAACCATGTTATGTATGCTGATGATCTGCTAATTGCTGCTCACTCAGAGGAGGAGTTGGAAGCGTTGCTGCTGAACCTGGAGCTTGCCACTAAGAGGTGGGGCCTTACCATCAGCCCCACCAAAACTAAGCACCTGCCTGGGTATTTTGTAACATTGGACACTCGACCCACACAACTCCCAATTGGTGATGGGGCAGTTGTGGAGAGAGTGGAGAGTTTCCCAGACCTGGGCAGTGTGCTCATGACCGGCTCCGGTTTAACAGCACAGGTCTCACTCTCAATCAGTCGAGCGGCATTATCTTTTCATCGGTTGCGTAACACTGTGTGGAAGCTACCTGGTCTATCACTCCGCACGAAGCTTCAAGCCTTTTCGGCCACGGTCATTCCTTACCTTCTCTACGCTTGCGAAACGTGGACCCCCCTAATGGAGCATCTTCGCCGGTTAGAAACATTTAGGCTGGCCTGCCTACGATCCATCCTGGATTTAACCAGGCTGGATTGTGTGAGCTCACAAATCCATTCTAGATTTAAAGCTTTCGTGACTGCAAGGATTCATACTCTTAGTTCTTAAAATAAAATAATAAAAATCACGACGTTTCGGAGGCAACACAAGTCTCCGTCATCAGGTGGGACCGTCACAGCCAGATTTCCTGCATCAAGTGAGGCAGGGATTCAAGATGCAAGCCCTTAAATATAAGTTGAGGGGGAGGAGAGGGGGGGGAAGCTTATCAGAATGTGGTAGCCAATGAATGGAACGTATCGGGAGGGGGGGCGGGGCTAAAAGAGAGCACAGGGTGCACGTGTACGTGGACATGCCTGTGCACAAGCACCTGTTGGTGCACATGATAGAAAAGAACGAAAATGCCCATGTTTATACCAGTGTTGGCTGACAATAAAGAGAGTACCGTTAAACGCTGTGGATGTTAACACGCGGTGAAGTAAAATAGTGCCTGTCAGAAAAGATGGTCCAAAAATGTGTAGTTAAATATTGTTTGCTGCATGGTTAATAACATCTTTCCAATGATTACTAAGTTTGTAGCCATCATCACGGTTGAAATTATGTCGGTGTTTGTATATCTGAATGGCTTCGTGTACAAACCTTTGATGGTAGCCAGAGGGTTTGCAGAGCACCTTAGTCTCGGAGAAAACAATATCACGAGAGCCCACTGCGTTGTTGATCATTGCTCAGTGGGAGTGTGTGGGGGATCAGTGGGAGTCTGGGGGGGGGGATCAGGGGGAGGGGATCAATGGGAGTGTGGAGGGGGATCAGTGGGAGGGGATCAATGGGAGTGTGGAGGGGGATCAGTGGGAGGGGATCAGGGGGAGTGTGGGGGGATCAGGGGGAGGGGATCAATGGGAGTGTGGGGGATCAATGGGAGGGGATCAATGGGAGTGTGTAGGGGGATCAGTGGGAGGGGATCAATGGGAGTGTGTGGGGGATCAGTGAGAGTGTGGGGGGGATCAGTGGGAGGGGATCAATGGGAGTGTGTGGGGGATCAGTGAGAGTGTGTGGGGGATCAGTGAGAGTGTGTGGGGGATCAGGGGGAGTGTGGGGGGGATCAGTGGGAGGGGATCAATAGGAGTGTGTGGGGGGGATCAGTGAGAGTGAGGGGGGGGATCAATGTTGCCCCCCCTCGTGCCGCGTAGACTTCCTGGAGGACTGCGTGGAGGGGATCGGCAGCGGCTACCGCGGCACCGTCGCCATCACCGCGACTGGGACCGACTGCCAGAAGTGGAGCTCCAACTACCCCCACAAGCCCAAGTGGGTGGGGGGGGGGGGTGGTGGTGTGGGTGGGGGTGGTGGTGGTGGGGGTGGTGGTGGTGGGGGAGGGTGGGGGTGGTGGTGTTGGTGGTGGTGGTGGAGGTGGGGGTGGTGGCGGTGGGGGGGGTGGTGGTGACTGGGACCGACTGCCAGAAGTGGAGCTCCAACTACCCCCACAAGCCCAAGTGGGTGGGGGGGGGGGTGGTGGTGGGGGAGGGTGGGGGTGGGGGTGGGGGGGTGGTGGGGGTGGTGGGAGGGTGGTGGGGGTGGGGGTGGTGAGGGGGGTGGTGGTGATGGCGGTGGGGGTGGTGGTGCTGGTGGGGGTGGTGGGGGTGGGGGTTGTGAGGGTGGTGGGGGTTGTGAGGATGGTGGGGGTGGTGGTGGTGGTGGTAGTGGCGGTGGTGGCGGGGGTGGTGGTGGAGGTGGTGGTGGGGGTGGTGGTGGCGGCGGTGGCGGCGGCGGTGGTGGGGGTGGTGGTGGGGGTGGTGGTGGGGGTGGTGGTGGCGGCGGTGGTGGGGGTGGTGGTGCTGGTGGGGGGGGGTGGTGGTGGGGGTGGTAGTGGTGGTGGTGAGGCTAATGTTAACCCCCCCTCACCCTCACCCCCACCCCCTCCACCCCCTCCACCCCCCGCACCCCTCAGCTTCTCTTCGGCCACCCACCCCGACGCGGGGCTGGAGGAGAACTTTTGCCGCAACCCAGACGACGACCCCAAGGGACCCTGGTGCTACACCACGAGCCGCGACACGCGCTTCCAGTACTGCGGTATCCGCACGTGTCCAGGCGAGACGCACACACATCCACCGCCCTCTGACCATCTCTAATTAGCACTCTCTCTATCTAACACTCTCTAACACTCTCTCTCTAACACTCTCTAACACTCTAACACTCTCTAACGGCTCGTGGTGCTACACCACGAGCCGCGACACGCGCTTCCAGTACTGTGGCATCCGCACGTGTCCAGGCGAGACGCACACACATCCACCGCCCTCTGACCATCTCTCTATCTAACGCGCTCTAACGCTCTCTAACTCTCTCTCTCTCTAACACTCTCTATCTAACACTCTCTAACACTCTAACACTCTCTAACGGCTCGTGGTGCTACACCACGAGCCGCGACACGCGCTTCCAGTACTGTGGCATCCGCACGTGTCCAGGCGAGACGCACACACATCCACCGCCCTCTGACCATCTCTAATTAGCACTCTCTCTATCTAACACTCTCTAACACTCTCTCCAATGATTACTAAGTTTGTAGCCATCATCACGGTTGAAATTATGTCGGTGTTTGTATATCTGAATGGCTTCGTGTACAAACCTTTGACGGTAGCCAGAGGGTTTGCAGAGCACCTTAGTCTCGGAGAAAACAATATCACGAGAGCCCACGGCGTTGTTGATCATTGCTCAGTGGGAGTGTGTGGGGGCTCAGTGGGAGTGTGTGGGGGCTCAGTGGGAGTGTGTGGGGGCTCAGTGGGAGTGTGTGGGGGCTCAGTGAGAGTGTGTGGGGGCTCAGTGGGAGTGTGTGGGGGCTCAGTGGGAGTGTGTGGGGGCTCAGTGGGAGTGTGTGGGGGCTCAGTGAGAGTGTGTGGGGGCTCAGTGGGAGTGTGTGGGGGCTCAGTGAGAGTGTGTGGGGGCTCAGTGGGAGTGTGTGGGGGCTCAGTGAGAGTGTGTGGGGGCTCAGTGAGAGTGTGTGGGGGCTCAGTGGGAGTGTGTGGGGGCTCAGTGGGAGTGTGTGGGGGCTCAGTGGGAGTGTGTGGGGGCTCAGTGAGAGTGTGTGGGGGCTCAGTGGGAGTGTGTGGGGGCTCAGTGGGAGTGTGTGGGGGCTCAGTGAGAGTGTGTGGGGGCTCAGTGAGAGTGTGTGGGGGCTCAGTGGGAGTGTGTGGGAACTCAGTGAGAGTGTGTGGGGGCTCAGTGGGAGTGTGTGGGGGCTCAGTGGGAGTGTGTGGGGGCTCAGTGGGAGTGTGTGGGGGCTCAGTGGGAGTGTGTGGGGGCTCAGTGGGAGTGTGTGGGGGCTCAGTGGGAGTGTGTGGGGGCTCAGTAGTGGAAGCGACACGCGCTTCCAGTACTGCGGCATCCGCACGTGTCCAGGCGAGATGCACACGACTCCACCGCCCTCTGATGATCTCTAACACTCTCTCTATCTAACACTCTCTAACACTCTCTCTATCTAACACTCTCTAACACTCTCTCTATCTCCCACTCTGTGGTTCTTTCGGTTAAAGTCACGTAGGTAGAAAAAAAAACTAACCCGTAAAAACTAAGTTTTTCACTATAAATCCTTTATATGCGTGTTCAATGGGCCACATCCCAGCCCACATTGGTCTTTGAAACGGGCGGCTAGAGTCCTCTCGTCCTCTGGCTTGAGATGGCTGCCACCTATGGGTCAGATGATTGCATTGCACCATTAAGCAATTGGTAATTAAATATAATTTATTTTTCCTAAAAAGTGGAAAATTTTGGAAAAAAATTTTCACGAACATTAATTGTCACGCACAACGAGTCTGTGTGCAAAATGTCAGCTCGATTGGATCATGGGTAGTGGGTTAAAAAACGACCGAAAGATTTGCACGGTCGTAAGCGCGCAAGCAAGTGAACTTAATATAAAGAATTTAACAACAGATCACGACGTTTCGATCGCAACAACAGTGATCGTCATCAGGTGGACAACTACAGCGAGAAAAAACTGCTGAAGTCAGCGAGAAATCTGCCGTGGCACGAGGTTATATAGTGTAGTGTGTAGTGTATAGTAGTGTATATTGTAGTGTGTAGTGTGTAGTGTATAGTAGTGTATAGTGTAGTGTATAATGTAGTGTATAGTGTGTAGTGTATAGTAGTGTGTAGTGTAGTGTGTAGTGTAGTGTATAGTGTAGTGTGTAGTGTAGTGTGTAGTGTAGTGTATAGTAGTGTATAGTGTAGTGTATAGTAGTGTAGTAGTGTATAGTGTAGTGTATAGTGTAGGGTGTAGTGTAGTGTAGTGTGTAGTGTAGTGTGTAGTGTATAGTAGTGTATAGTAGTGTATAGTGTAGTGTATAGTGTGTAGTGTATAGTAGTGTATAGTGTAGTGTATAATGTAGTGTATAGTGTGTAGTGTATAGTAGTGTGTAGTGTAGTGTGTAGTGTAGTGTATAGTGTAGTGTGTAGTGTAGTGTGTAGTGTAGTGTATAGTGTAGTGTATAGTAGTGTATAGTGTAGTGTATAGTGTAGTGTATAGTGTAGGGTGTAGTGTAGTGTAGTGTGTAGTGTAGTGTGTAGTGTATAGTAGTGTATAGTAGTGTATAGTGTAGTGTATAGTGTGTAGTGTGTAGTGTATAGTAGTGTATAGTGTAGTGTATAATGTAGTGTATAGTGTGTAGTGTATAGTAGTGTGTAGTGTAGTGTGTAGTGTAGTGTATAGTGTAGTGTGTAGTGTAGTGTGTAGTGTAGTGTATAGTAGTGTATAGTGTAGTGTATAGTAGTGTATAGTGTAGTGTATAGTGTAGTGTATAGTGTAGGGTGTAGTGTAGTGTAGTGTGTAGTGTAGTGTGTAGTGTATAGTAGTGTATAGTAGTGTATAGTGTAGTGTATAGTGTAGTGTATAGTAGTGTATAGTGTAGTGTATAGTGTAGTGTATAGTAGTGTATAGTAGTGTATAGTGTAGTGTATAGTGTAGTGTATAGTGTAGTGTATAGTAGTGTATAGTGTAGTGTATAGTAGTGTATAGTGTAGTGTATAGCGTAATGTATAGTAGTGTATAGTGTAGTATAGTAGTGTATAGTGTAGTGTATAGTGTAGTGTATAGTGTAGTGTATAGTGTAGTGTATAGTAGTGTATAGTGTAGTGTATAGTGTAGTGTATAGTGTAGTGTATAGTAGTGTATAGTGTAGTGTATAGTAGTGTATAGTGTAGTGTGTAGTGTAGTGTATAGTAGTGTATAGTGTAGTGTATAGTAGTGTATAGTGTAGTGTATAGTGTAGTGTATAGTGTAGTGTATAGTATTGTGTAGTGTAGTGTATAGTGTAGTGTATAGTGTAGTGTATAGTGTAGTGTATAGTGTAGTGTATAGTAGTGTATAGTGTATAGTGTAGTGTATAGTGTAGTGTATAGTGTAGTGTATAGTGTAGTGTATAGTAGTGTATAGTGTAGTGTATAGTAGTGTATAGTGTAGTGTATAGTAGTGTATAGTGTAGTGTATAGTAGTGTATAGTGTAGTGTATAGTAGTGTATAGTGTAGTGTATAGTAGTGTATAGTAGTGTATAGTGTAGTGTATAGTGTAGTGTATAGTGTAGTGTATAGTAGTGTATAGTGTAGTGTATAGTAGTGTATAGTGTAGTGTATAGCGTAATGTATAGTAGTGTATAGTGTAGTATAGTAGTGTATAGTGTAGTGTATAGTGTAGTGTATAGTGTAGTGTATAGTGTAGTGTATAGTAGTGTATAGTGTAGTGTATAGTGTAGTGTATAGTGAGTGTATAGTAGTGTATAGTGTAGTAGTAGTGTATAGTGTAGTGTATAGTGTAGTGTATAGTAGTGTACTAGTGTAGTTGTATTAGTAGTGTATAGTGTAGTGTATAGTATTGTGGTAGTGTAGTGTATAGTGTCAGTGTATAGTGTAGTGTATAGTGTAGTGTATAGTTAGTGTATAGTGTAGTGTATAGTGTAGTGTATAGTGTAGTGTATAGTGTTAGTGTATAGTGTAGTGTATAGTAGTGTATAGTGTAGTGTATAGTAGTGTATAGTGTAGTGTATAGTAGTGTATAGTGTAGTGTATAGTAGTGTATAGTGTAGTGTATAGTAGTGTATAGTGTAGTGTATAGTAGTGTATAGTGTAGTGTATAGTGTAGTGTATAGTGTAGTGTATAGTGTAGTGTATAGTAGTGTATAGTGTAGTGTATAGTAGTGTATAGTGTAGAGTATAGTAGTGTATAGTGTAGTTTATAGTAGTGTATAGTGTAGTGTATAGTAGCGTAGTGTAGTGTATAGTAGTGTATAGTATAGTGTAGTGTATAGTAGTGTATAGTGTAGTGTATAGTAGTGTATAGTGTAGTGTATAGTGTAGTGTATAGTGTAGTGTATAGTGTAGTGTATAGTGTAGTGTGTAGTGTATAGTGTAGTGTATAGTGTAGTGTAGTAGTGTATAGTGTAGTGTATAGTGTAGTGTATAGTGTAGTGTATAGTGTAGTGTATAGTAGTGTATAGTGTAATGTATAGTAGTGTATAGTGTAGTGTATAGTGTAGTGTATAGTGTAGTGTATAGTGTAGTGTATAGTGTAGTGTATAGTAGTGTATAGTGTAGTGTATAGTGTAGTGTATAGTGTAGTGTATAGTAGTGTATAGTGTAGTGTATAGTAGTGTATAGTGTAGTGTATAGTAGTGTATAGTGTAGTGTATAGTGTAGTGTATATTAGTGTATAGTGTAGTGTATAGTGTAGTGTATAGTAGTGTATAGTTTAGTGTATAGTAGTGTATAGTGTAGTGTATAGTAGCGTATAGTGTAGTGTATAGTGTAGTGTTATGTAGTGTATAGTGTAGTGTATAGTGTAGTGTATAGTGTAGAAGAGTGCATAGTGTAGAGTAGTGTATAGTGTAGTGTATAGTGTAGTGTATAGTGTAGTGTGTAGTGTATAGTGTAGTGTATAGTATAGTGTAGTGTATAGTGTAGTGTATAGTGTAGTGTATAGTGTAGTGTATAGTGTAGTGTATAGTAGTGTATAGTGTAGTGTATAGTGTAGTGTATAGTAGTGTATAGTGTAGTGTATAGTGTAGTGTAGTAGTGTATAGTAGTGTATAGTGTAGTGTATAGTGTAGTGTAGTAGTGTATAGTAGTGTATAGTGTAGTGTATAGTAG